GGGTGGGTGTGACTGGGGGGGCGGGGCGGCGGGGTCGTTTGGGCTGATTTTCTTTCTGCTGCTCCAGCCCCGGTTTTCTGTCTGCGATACCCTCTGCCCCGACCCCTTCTCCACTGCCCGCCACCCTCTGCTCCATCCCTGACCAAACTTTAACTTTTTCTCTTTCTTCTTACCTTTTACCTCTTTTCCCCTCTTCACATTGACTCCTTTCTCACTTACTCACTCTCTCCCTATCCCCTCCACCCGCCGTTCGTTCCCACAAAATGTCGGACACACACACCGATTGATTGGCAGCTATTCCAACCAATCAAATCCCTCTTGACCGCCTTTCCGACGGCTCAGACCGTGAGGTTTTTGCATGACAGAGATTCTAACCAATCGCATACAGTATTATCCTGATTGACATTCATTATCACCACATTGGCGCCATCAGCTTTCAAATAGACCAATAGTGGTTTGCAAACCCAAGTGTAGGGCGGGGCCAACCTTTTGAGTAACAGCAACCTGACCCAATCAATGCTGCGCCTGTCGCGGGGCTGTCCGCAGTCTGACCAATCGATTCGGCGTCACGCGAGAAGGCGGGATTTCTTCTCCAAAACGGTGCGTCCGGTGGAAAAACGGTTAGGCTAACGAGGTGTCAAGGTGGCTGCAAGAGGCGACCTGCTCGTGAGGAACGTGAGCGCCGCCTGGCCGCAGCGCCATCACCAGGCTGGAGTGAAAACCGCTTTTCAGCCAATGTAGAAATTGGGCTTCGTGGAGAGATGTTTGGGAGTTGGGTGTGAGCCCGTGGGGGTCAACTTGTGGTGTTCATCCCTAATTGCCCTAAACTACTAAGTGACTTGCTAAGCCATTGCAGTTACGAGTCAACCACATTGCTGTGGGTCTGGAGTCACATGTAGGTGACACTGGGCAAAGGTAGCAAATTTCCTTTTCCAAAGGACATGAGTGAACCAGTTGTGGTTTTTACAACAATTGCTGATAGCCACTGTCAATGAGACCCTGCTTTAAATTCCAAATTGTTTTATTTGAATTTAAATCCCATCCACTGGTGGTGTTGCTGCATTTACGCAGTGCCTGTATCTCCTCAGGTTGTGTAGATGTTGCTGTGATGTAAGAAACAACGTCACCAATTAGTGCTCAACGAGCCTATGTGGCCAGAATCTAAAGTGTTCTGCATTTGTTGTTACTGAGATTAGCTTTCAATTAATTGAATAAAATTCCTGAAGCTGCTGTGATAGTGGTGGGATTTGAACCTGTGGCCAAGAGGATTAGAGTCATACAGTCCATGCCAACCATAATCCCAAACTAAACTCATCCCATTTGCCTGTGCTTGGTTCATATCACTCCAAACGTTTCTTATTCATGTGCTTATCTAAATGTCTTTTCAACCTTGTAACTATACCCGCAAGCACTACTTCCTCTGGAAGTTCATTCCACACACAAACCACTAGATTAGTCTAGGTCTGTGGAATGCTACTTTCATGATCTAACCACTACACCACTATCACCTTTCCCCCATTAAAAATTAAATCTGACGCAACGTTACATTATGATCATATCTTAATTCCTCTCTTTTGAAAGCTCTAATGTAAGGTCACCTAGCAATGAAGAACTTCAACATTGCTGAAAAGATGGATATTTTTGCCGAAAGTTCTCATCTTGTACTCAATGGGCCAAATGCAAGAATGCTAAACTTTAAATGATTGCAACAACTCACAGAAATGAGGAAAACATGCTGATTGACAAGTTGACTCTGCCTAAGAAAGCAACAGGGAACTCAGGCTTCCTAAACTCCTGGGTAATTCAAAAAAGTTGCAAGGCTTGAAAATATTCCTTTTGTTTGCAGAGAACAGGTACCTGTTTATGAATGCAATTTTCTCCCTAATGGCATTGTGGGCCAACTCACAGCAGGTAGACTGCAGCGATTCAAGAAGGCAGTTCACCACCACCTTCTCAAGGGCAATTAGGGACAGGCAATAAATGCTGGCCAGCCAGCGACAGCGACGTCCCACAAATTAATAAATTTTTAAAAATGCATGTTGCTTCTAGGGAGTGTAAATGAGTTACGTTATGAACTTGACTGATTATCTTAAATTGGTTGTTGGTCAAGCCATTAGTTCAGGAAGACTTGACTTGCCAACCAATTAGCACCTTCTATAGTATAAAACTTGGCATTCTTGCATTAGTCCAACTGAGTGCAAAATAAAAACCTTTGGCAAACCATTTCTATTTTCAGTTAGAATGAAACTGTGCTACCAAATAACTATGTAATGTCCATCCACACAACCTTCCGAGACCTCTGTGCTCCTCCTGTTCTGGCCCCTTGACCAGCTGCGGTTTATTTAACTGTAGCACTCAGTAGTCACACCTTCTGGGCCTGAAACTCTGGAATTCCCTCGCCTGCGCCTCTCCATCATTTTACCTCACTTTGATCCTTTCAGACACACCTTAAAACCGGTTTCTTAGACCAAGTCTTTGGCTCTTCTGACCTAATAAGATGACTTGGTGTCAGACTTTGTTGCTTAATGGTCCACTGAAGCATTCTGGGACATTTCATTATGTTGAAGGTGTGACATAAATGAAATCTGAGGATCTCATTGGACAGTGTAGTTTGCCATTTATCCCATTTGATTATTCCCACTGAGCACCTTTTGACTTTTTTTACCTCCAGAATTATTTAATTACCCTTTTGATAATGAGCTTTCTTCTACTTCGTTTTCGCTCTCTGCAATGACTTATTGCTACAGTGAGCGGGGAGCGTACTTTGATCTGTCTGGGATGATGTGTGTAAATTGTCCAACACTTTTCACTGCTTCAGACACAATCAAAATAATGACAAAGTTTCCAAATCTGGCCTCTGGGTGAAACTGCCAGGCAACAAAAGGGGCAATAGTCATTTCTTTTTCTCCGGTGCTTTCTGTTTTTACACAAAAAAAATCACTGAAAGGAAATAAATGTCAGGGGTTGTCGATTGTGGAGCCACAACCCTCCATCCACCTTGGGATTAAAACCTGCCACTTTTAAAAACTGTGTCAATTCTCTCATTAGCTTCAGGTTTGATTGCCTTCTTATCGAACCCTGTGTCAATGTCAGGGGCTGTCATGTTCCTGTCGTAGAATTTTAGTTTAATTTCAGTTTAAATTTAGCTTTCTCCACTTACTCTTTCCTAAGGATATTCTCATCTTTAAGACTGCAGTACCTTAAACCTTCTTTAGAAAGGCCTGACTTGCTGGGGATTGAGGAATGAAGAAGACACAAAGAAACCTGTTCACCACTGAAGTAATTGCATAGAGGCCAGTATCCCATCACCAAGTCACCCTGTAGTTACACATACACAGTATGTGGACTCTGACCAACTAGTTCAGAGCCAGTCCCTAGAGTGAGGAGAATCGCTGAGAATCCTGTTTATATCTGTCAGCCAGGGCTCCCTGATTGTCCTGGGTTAACAACCCCAATCAGGGAACTCATACTCAATGAGATCCACCTGGCCCTGTTTCCAATCACTACAACCACCATCTAATCGAGAGGGGGATCCAGTGCAATCACCAAGAATCAGATAGGTAACTCAGTGATCATTCTAACAGATCACAAGCTCCTGTGAACTGTAAATGGTTAAATTAAAGCCAGTGTTTGGAATAACAGGCAGGGTTTTTATTGCCAAGTGATCCAGCACAGCCATTTCTTTGCTATGTGTTCCTTCTAAATTATCTGGGGAGAGAGTTGGAAACAACAACAGGCAAAGATTCCAATCAAAGGCATTACTCAATACCACACTATCTGATTCACTAAGAGCTTGTTAAACAGGGACTCTCCCATCCATTATTAATAAACAAAGTAATACCAACAGCTTGTATTTCCATACAGCAATACAGAATGAAGGAGGTAGCACAGCCGATCTAGTCTGTGCTAACTCTTTCTAAGAGTAATTGAGTCTGACCCATAGCCCTGAGATAGTAAAAACTGCAGATGCTGGAGTCAGAGATAACACAGTGTGGAGCTGGAGGAACACAGCAGGCCAGGCACTGTCAGAGGAGCAGAAAAGCTGATGTTTCGGGTCGGGACCCTTTTTGGTCTCAGTATTGGTCTCAATATTTAAGGATATTAATGCATTGGAAGAAGGGTCCCGACCCGAAACGTCAGCTTTCCTGCTCCTCTGACACTGCCTGGCCTGCTGTGTTCCTCCAACTCCACTCTGACCCACAGCCCTGTAGTTTGTACATACCCTGCCCCTTTTACTGCAGTTTGGCAAAAAGAATAAAAAGGAGGCATAATATCTAAATGATGAGAAATTGCAGAGCCCAAAGATACATCCCAGGGATCTGGGTGTCCAAATGCATGAATTATAAAAGGCTGGGATTTTGATGCAGCAAGTATTGAGGAAAGCCAATGAAATAATAGAATTTATTACGAGGGACATTTAACGTTTCAATTATACAGAGCCTTGGTGAGACCGCACCATGAGTATTGTATATGGTACTGGTCTCAGTATTTAAGGATATTAATGCATTGGAAGCAGTTCCGAGAAAGTTTACCAAAATTAAACCTGGATTGGGTGGGTTCTGAGGTAAGGTTGGACAGGATGTTGTGTAAGAAGTTGGTGAGGCCTCTTCTGGAGTACTATGTCCAGTGGTGGAGGAGCTTCAGAAAAGATTTACCCAGGATTTTGCCAGGAATGGAGGGTTTGAGTTGAGATTCACCGATCTTAGACTTAGAATCCCTACAGTGTGGAAACAGGCCCTTTGGCCCAGCAAGTCCACACCGACACTCACAGCATCCTACCCTGACTCATCCCCCTATAACCCACCTAATCTACACATCCCTGAACACTATGGGCAATTTAGCATGGCCAATCCACCTAACCTGCAGATCTTTGGACTGTTGGAGGAAACCGGAGCATCTGGAGGAAACCCACGCAGACACGGGGAGAATGTGCAAACTCCACACAGACTGTCATCCGAAGGTGGAATTAATTCCCTGGCGCTGTGAGGCAGCAGTGCTAACCACTGGGCCACTGTGGTGTAAGGAGAGGCTAGATAGGCTGGGACTTTTTCCATTGGAGCATAGGATATTGAGGGATGAACTTACAGAGGTTTATAAAAGGTGAATGGATGGTGTCTTTTCCCTAGGGTGAGGGTGTTCAAGACCAGGGGGCATATTTGTTAAGGTGAGAGGAGAAAGATTTAAAAAAGACACGAGGGGCAATTTTTTACACAGAGTGGTTAGTGTGTGGAACGAACCTCCAGAGGAAGTGATGGATGTAGGTAAAAGATGTTTAAAAGACCTTTGGATAATTACATTAATAAGAAAGGTTTGGAAGGA